TTAGTGTACTTTGACATGTTACTGAGAATAGTTATAGGTTTCTCTTGTCACCTTTTATTATTTATTAGCGAATTTGCAGTCTAGCAAGTTACCTCACATTAAATAAAAGTGTGTTTCTTCTCCTCTATAACCGTCTTTTTATCACTGGTTACCTTAAAAGCAACTATATTTCTTGATGGTGCTTCTGGTTTCATAACGGTGTACTGTCTCAAACTCATGTTAGATCTTTAGGGTCCTGGACCGATGTTTCATGCTTACTACTGTGACGGCAGAAGACAAGGGCCAGCCAATAAATCGTTTATTGAGAGAACAAACTGATATTTAATTGGTGGATGGTGACTGTCAGTGGAATCCAGGATAACGCGCATTTCGTCTTATTTCGAACCCATCATCTGGATGTACCTGCATTTCTCACTGAGTGATGATGTTTCAACCGAGGCTCGAACCCAGTGCCCATAGTTTCAAACACCAAAGCGTTATCGAATAGACCACCTGGGCCACAATAGCCACCCCTAGTGCAACGGGTCATATTAATTTAATTGACATGTCAACCTGAGATCGAGCAATTCGGTCCGATCAATCGACGGGGAAATCAAAAATTCAATTTAATCAACAGATATTTATAGATTTTTATATGCATTATTATTCGTTAGTGTTAGCAGAGGAGCAACGTCTTCTGATTGGTTGTTTTCCCGCTGAAGGTTATTCTGACATCTATTTGTTGCCTTTTCTTAGACAGTTTAGTGATATATCTGCACATCGTATCCGCCCACGCTAAGTCTGCTGTGATTGGTTTTTGAGTTCCTCAAGGTTAGGCTTAGTCCTTGTCTTTTCTCAAAACTCCGATTAGGGACATACACTTTGACGTAAATTGTTGCTTATATTTTTGGCTTGCAGACAGCTCTCACCACACTACCACCTGTCAGAAGGATGTATATGAAACTTCGAAGGAACTGATGTCCCATTGAAGATTCATGTCCTCACCATTAAATGGCCCAGTCAGAAGATGGTACCATTTTGCCATTTAGGATCGATACTTAAGACAGGTATTAGAATTTCAGGTTTATAATGCCACCGTAGCTCTATAATCCCAATAATTTCACACCAGTAAACTGTAGAAATTTCATATTAGTTTGATTATTAAATGTATCACACAGTGAAACAGTATTGTATACTGGATGACGTTTCGAACACAATTTATTGTTCATAATCATATCAATTTTTGTCACACGACTTCGAGATTTGATTTTTATAGTTTTCTCTGTCTTCTCCTATTTGTTGTATGGGCAGTAGAATTTTCCATATATCTGGGACAGGTGTTGAATCATTCCTATTACATGTATTTGCAGTTGATTCGATAAACAAAGCTTCTGTTATCAATCTCTCCCTATACCCTGTGACATTAGATTTTAAAACTGTCATCCTATCCCATCCTATTGTATGGTTGTGTGTAACTGCATGTAGTGCTATAGCTGAACTACTCTCTAGATTTCTTATCTTATTCGGGTCAACCAATCTAGATTTAGCTAGGTTTTTATGTTCGGCTAGTCTGACTGCCCCTGTTCTACTAGTTTGACCTATGTATTTGACCTCACAATCATTGCAGGGTATTAGATAAACTAAATTGTTTTGTTTTAATGGCTCTACAGGATCCTTTAACCGACAAAGCTTGTTTCTAATTGAGTTTGTGGGTTTGAATGCCACTTTTATTCCTGCCTTGTTAAGAATTCTGCGTAAGGCTTCCGAGGTTCCTTCTTTGTATGGAATTATTGTTGATGATTTACATTCCTTATTGTTGGTGTCGTTATTAATATTATCATTATTATTATTATCACTATTGTTATTACCATTATTATTATTATTGTTATTATTATTATTGTTATCATTATTATTACGCAGAATTCTTAACAAGGCAGGAATAAAAGTGGCATTCAAACCCACAAACTCAATTAGAAACAAGCTTTGTCGGTTAAAGGATCCTGTAGAGCCATTAAAACAAAACAATTTAGTTTATCTAATACCCTGCAATGATTGTGAGGTCAAATACATAGGTCAAACTAGTAGAACAGGGGCAGTCAGACTAGCCGAACATAAAAACCTAGCTAAATCTAGATTGGTTGACCCGAATAAGATAAGAAATCTAGAGAGTAGTTCAGCTATAGCACTACATGCAGTTACACACAACCATACAATAGGATGGGATAGGATGACAGTTTTAAAATCTAATGTCACAGGGTATAGGGAGAGATTGATAACAGAAGCTTTGTTTATCGAATCAACTGCAAATACATGTAATAGGAATGATTCAACACCTGTCCCAGATATATGGAAAATTCTACTGCCCATACAACAAATAGGAGAAGACAGAGAAAACTATAAAAATCAAATCTCGAAGTCGTGTGACAAAAATTGATATGATTATGAACAATAAATTGTGTTCGAAACGTCATCCAGTATACAATACTGTTTCACTGTGTGATACATTTAATAATCAAACTAATATGGAATTACTTAATACCACAGTGCCCAAGTTTTACACATATGTAGAAATTTCTATTGTCTATGAGTTCAGGAGACAGTTGATTATATAAGTACTAATCTAAACTAGTACAAAATGATTTATTCTTTCTGTAACAATTTTTCAAGCTAACTATATAATGGCACATACTACTGGTCAATTGATATGAGTAGTAGGATACTACTCATACCAACCAATAGTGCTTGCCAGACCCATAGAAGTGACCTAAACGTCTGATGATCATGTTGCTCACCTAACATTGAGCTCATCAGCATTGCAGCTGGTTTATTCCAGATCAAACAGCCTAATGAGACCTAACCAGCAACACATCACTTGTTGTTGTCGATTTCCGGAGGAAACTGCTATGAGACTACACCCCGAACCCTTTAATGTACGAATTTGAGCCCTTGAACCTAACCACGCTATATTAGTTAAGTGAGGCATTTTCATCTATCACTTGTATAATAGTTATTTCTTTGAATATTTTTGCTTTATTCATAAAGTGGCATGGAAATTAGGCTGACCATAAATTGGGTGAACTGAATTTCCTATATCGTTCAAGAACCCTATGTTTGTAATTTTGCCAAACCAAATATTGGGTTTGTGGTGACTTAACTGATTTTAAGGCGAACTTCATCACAAATCGATATAGATTAGGGAACCACCAGAAACTAGTGAGAACTGTATAAGTTTTACTTCCCTAATAAGAAACTTTCGTAGGTATTCAGCTGTAACCCTACTATGAATACCTCAGTAAAATATTGTTCATTTCTGTCGCATTTGTCCTTTGTTACCCTTTATTTTGCGTTCAACCTTATACTACTTATTGCTAGTAAGTATTATATGTTGTATTTTTATTTTTATTTTTTTTTATTTTTGATTACAGCTTGATTCCATACTGTATTTTTGGTACAAGTATGGAATTTTCAGCGTGGATATCGGTAGCCCAAAATTCGCAGGCCGATCATAGATATCAGGTGTGCGTCGGCGTGGGCTCGAACCCCGGACCATGTGCATGGTCGACGAGAGTCCTAACCACTGTGCCACCGACGCACAATGGTAGTAATAAAAATGAATTTATCCCAAACAATAATAATAATCATACACAGTGGAAATTTTTTGGCGTAACTTAATCAAATGAAAAAGAGGATGAAAATATTCAGTTACCAGGACAAGGGGAAAACCGATAACTGCTTTTTTCTAAACATACAAATCGGGTTTCAGGCGTTTGGTAGAGATTGCTTCAGCAAACTTGAGGAGAATTGAACTCTTTTGTCTATTGATCATTTTGAACGATCTTGTGACATCCTCCTTATGATCCGTGTCAAGGAGAAGCCTAGCATTGGTACTGTTGAAAGCATTCCTTTGACATGTAGGCTTTTTGGTAGACATTCGGAAAATTGAATGTATGACCTTCTTTCTGTTCTCCCAACGTAGCCACTCCCACAGATACATGAGAAGGGTATCTGGCAACTTTTGATTGCACTAAAGAGCATGGTGTCAGATAGACGAAATAAATGATGGTAGCCTTTTATTCTGCACAAACTGTTTTTCTTGCCTCATTCATTCAGTTATGTTGTCAAACAAAAAAGGCATATCAATAATCTTCTATAGTTTGGTTTGTAAGGGTTAGTTTTGTTTTTACGAGTTGTCCCTCCTAACCACGAATGTTGTTTAGTAACGAAGTTTGCCTCAATTAATGTAATTATTTCTTTACAGTTCAACATCATCTCCTGTATATGCTTCATTTAAATAACCTTCTCTGTTAAACACAGTTCATTCGAATCCCTTTATTCATTGTCTGACGTTCGCGAGCTGTTTATTTCGACCGTGGATCGCTTTTGACACGGCTTTGCTGCTTTCCTTATTAACATACAGTGACTATGCATCAGCCACAGAACCTGACAATTTGAGATTTGTTCATTATATTTCATTACTTTTCATGTGTAATGTAGTGCCGTAGTTTAGAAAAATCCTGAGTAACTCAATGTATGGTTTAATGATGTTTAATGGAACTATCCCTCTAGTTTTTTTAGAAAAAAATGCAAATATATTCTAACAATCTTTCACTGTTGGAAATACTGGGTGAATTCCTTTACAACTTATTCCAAAGTAGTATGACTTCATGTCGGAAAAATGAACAAAACCTCGGCGCATTGACCGCTAGACTCAATTTTATTGATTAATATGCACTAAAGCAGATATGTTTAATCCCAGACATTAGATTTCGTCATAAACCGGCACTACTGGAAACGACGGAGCACTAGACAGCTGCTTCCTTCTCGTTTGGGACTCCTCATCGGTGCATACCCACTACCCCATCAGAGATCGAACTCAGGATCTTCACGTTATGAGACCATGCTCACCGACCATTTATCCACTTCAGCTGGGAGCAGAAGACAGCTTTTTCTCCTCTTTCCTCTCATCTGCGACTGTTACAAATTTCCCATGCCCCATTTAATTATTCATACAAAGAAAAGTCTGCATACTGTTAAGTTATATTTGGATAAAAATGAAAGCGCTCATCATTTGATTACTTAATACTATATTAAAGTAGTGTAAGACACAATAAGTTCAATTCTTAGTATACGCTCAACAAAGAAACAATGAAACCGACTTAAAAGCTTCTTAATATTGGTCTGAAGGCCAGAGATGCAATTCCACACATATTCCAATTATTTCGCAATACTTTAACATAACCTCCTTCACCCCATTTTTTACCCCAATTATTTTGTAATATCCAATAATCAGTACCATCATTATCATAACCATAGCCAACTAGTAGCATACTTTGATTTAAATTATAATGTGTACATGTATCAGATTGGTAAATACCAGATCTAAAAATTAGAAATAAATTAACAAAAAAAAACCATTAAAAAGGTCAAAAAGAATTATTTTTAAGTTATAATATGAACTGATATCAGTCAGAGAACCCCAAAGATCAAGGAGTATCAGTCAGATCCTTCGTCCTAGTTTGTGACTCTTCATCCGTAAACCCCTGTGACTCCACCTGAGATCGGATGCAGAATCTTCGGGTTATAAGACCACCCCGTTTACCACTTGGCCACCAGGATGAATTCCAGTTGCTCATGAATTCTAACTTCTACTAATTCGTGATACATAGTGCCACCACTGGTCAATGTCACTCACTGGTAGGTATCTGCCACACTACCAACTTGGTAAGTGACACTAGTCTCAGCTAGCTAATACAACTCTAGGCAACTTTAACGTTCAGTTGGTCACTAGTGAGCACCACTCATTTCTACTAAGTTGAGTAAGAGGACAAATACTTGCTGATTACATTGAATAACAGCCTTATTATATTTGGCAAATTCGCAGAAATCACAATTCATAGGCCTTGTAATATTAACGCACGGTATTTGATTCATGATATGGCCAGGGGTGATTGATTTTTCATAGTTCTCCGAATGACATGATTCCTATACCTAATTTAAAATCAATCAAAACCCTTCGAAGCAACGCTTGGAATGAATTGCTTTTCTTCAAAAACAGATTTTATTTCAAGTTTGATCATGGAGAACCATTCAGCCGGACAAGTACTTTGCCCTAGTTTGGAACTCTTCGGCAGTATGCACCCTCAAGGGATAGGTAGAACTGACGACCTTCCAAATTACAAGGCAAGCTAGTAGATCATTCAGTCACTTGGACCTGAATTAAAGCAGATTTCTCGGTGGGGAAAATGTAGATTTTGGTGTGGTTCACTTGAAGTATACAATGAAAGTTTTGCAACTAAACCATCCAGCTAAGGGAACACAACTATACCAAAATCATTTACATGAGCTACAAACCTTTTCAGTTATATCTAAAATACAGGATGTTCAGTAGCTGATGCTAACTGGTAGAACACTATGTCACGACAGCATAACTTTTAAAGGGGAGAACAATGAGCAAGTTGCCCCCGACACATGATTTATGCTTTTTAAGCACTTATTAGGAAGATATGTTCAAGATACTGGAGAGTTTGATGTTTTGGTCATAAACTCATTGAATGCGTAAGTCATGATCCGCTACGTTGGGGAGTTGGATTATTTGCATGATTTGATCATTGAATGATAAAAAAGCAATTTTTTAAGTTCTTGGTATGCCTCTAAATGTTGATCATGTAGTCATGCAGTCATTATGGTTAGTTACCTGCATCAACTGTTCTAAATGACATCATTTATTTTGATAACAAATAATTGACAAATTGTCATGTGTACTCATCTTTATTTGTATTTACTATTTGACGGGATTTTATAGAGCTGAGTTCACACTGAGTACTATTGGCAGTCCTTCTAGAAGCTGGCTGACTACTAAAGGTTATACGGTTTATACTGATTAGACATTGAAGATTAATCAGTGCCATGAGTATGATTCTTAATGTTAATGATTAGCAACAAAGAACTCGGGGAATGGGCCAACCAAAAACTTATTGGTCAACAAAGATGGCGAAGGAAATGAAGATAGATAAGACACACTGAGAAGACCGTTGAGTCATTTCGAGCACAAGGCTACCTCTCAAGTGGAACATACTATTTAACGATTCCGGTTAAATGAATCAAAGTCTAAGGATTTTTAAGTGTTTTAATTTCTTACAAATACTAGTATCTAACCCATTATCTTGTTTTTGATTGACCACTAGTGGACACTACTAGTGTAATGTGTCCGGTCCTATCTTTGGTGCAAAGTGAATTCTATCAGTCAAGTTTGTATTGTGGCCACCATACTAGGTGGCTCAACATCAATATGAACTTTGAATTGTTGGTACCTTAAATCCTAACCCAGGTTTCGTGCTAGTTGGCACTCACCAGTCAGCAAGGCGTATCTGCAACCTTGAAGGAACTCATGTTCCACATTGCAAACTTGACTGAGGGAATTCAGTCTGTACCAAAGATAGGACTAGGCACACACACACACACACATCACACTAGTTACTGACTAGCATCCAATCAAAAATATTCAATGCAGTCCTATAGGAGGTTATTCGCGAGCAGTGGTAACGTCTCTGACTGCAGCACTGGGTGACGTGAGTTCGAATCTCAGCAGGTTCTTCACTAGAAACTGTCTCGAAAGCTGTTTTAACTGGGATATTAATGTACAAACTGGTTACATCAAAATTGATCAGTTTTTTTCATTCTTTTCTATTTGGTTTTCTTCTAGCTACCTTCTGATTACATAAAAATTAGTTAGGCTAGAATCTGAAAGTTCAGATAAACAAGAAGGAGGCTGGAAGAGAAACAAAATATATGAGGCAAACAAGCAAACCCTGTAAGGTATACTGATATGATTGTGAGCAATTGGAATTGTGCTGGAAATGTCACCCGGTTATTAATAAATGCATCATTGCTAAACACTCTGTACAACGAGATCACGTATTATACCAAATAAATTTATCCGACATTGAATCTAATAGCTACAATAATACAATTTTGACTGGGATAGTGTCATTGTTGTTGTTGTTCACAAATCAAGAATGCTTTTGTCCTACTAGAGACTCATTAAACAAACATACTAACATTTCACTCTTATGGTTTTCCCAAATGAGACTCGAACCTAGAGTCTATCGTTTCAAATCCCATAGCATTATTCACTCAGTTACTAAGGCCAACAAGGAATAAAACTTGTCTAAGGGGAATATTTGTTTCTAAAGGATGCTTTTCATTGAGAATATTGTTTAAATAAGGCTAAAAAATTTCGTAAAAATGTTTTCATCATTTTACTCACTTATAAAATAAAAATTTCTGATCAATATTCATTGAAATAACATATGGACCTTCATTGTATACTGCCCACTTCAAAATAGTTTCATAACCATGACGATGTAGTTTAAATCCAATCGACTGGACGACAACATCTGAACTATTTGCCATACAGTCTTCATCCTAAATAAGATAAAATATATATATTTTTTTATATACAATTTCTAAAAAGTTGCAAAGAAATCATGATCTGGTTAGGAGTTGGATTTTATATTTCATCTGATAGACTGTCAGATTATTAATCCAAAGGCTGCTAGTTCAAATCCTGCTAAGATCCAACTTCTAATTTCACCGATTGTATCAAACAACAAACAGACCTGGAGGACAATTTATCAGGACTTCAAAAGCCTCTGTCCTATAAATTACAAAAAAGGATTGGTCAGAACTTTACTTAGAAGAAAAAGTCGAAGAAGAGTTATCCATTGTGGAAAAATGCCTACATAATCACAGTTACCCACAGAAGTTCATTGGGAAACATGGGAAACAGAGTGTTGAAGAGGTGATATGCATCACAGTAGACAAAAAGTCCACTACTGGATTTTACCAACAGTGGAACATTTTCTTTGACGTTCTAATCAATACATCAATTCACTTACTTCTGTGGAAATTAACCACATAAATCTTACCCATAGAATACAGTCTAGACGAGCAAAAGAACATCTCCCAATGTGGTGAGAGCTGACTACTAGCCAAAGTTCGTAGACAGTAATTTACGTCAATGTTTATGTCTCGAAAATTGATCGTGAGAAAAATGGGAACAAAGGCTTTGCGTAGGCGGATACAGTTAGCATATAGATGATCTGACATTCAAGAAACAGTCACAAAAAGATGAAACATTAACTTTCAATGCGAAATAACTAATCAGAAGACTGTATTTGTCTACTAACAATAATCTATATTAATGTACATGAAAATCAATAAATATGTGTTGATTTCCTTAATAAAGGATCTGTTGCCTGGCCCTTGTCTTCTGTTGTTACACCAGTATGAGTGATTGTTGAAAGGCGGAGTCAGACACACAAGTGCTTTATTTCTTGAACACCTTCTGCTAACACATATCATTCAAAATTAGTAGAAATGATCTTTCAGGGTGAGATATATATAATGTAAAGCCAAGTTATTGGAAGGGGTTCTGACAATATCTCCTCTCTACAACGGAAACTGTTGTGTAATACACAAGGAAAACGTTGAACTCTGCGTGTAATATAGAAGTGGTTTATCTGATCCCTTTTACCATCATGGCCTTAATTATTCCCTTTCTTGATTCGAAGTTCTGTCAGTGCATCATACACTTCTACAAACAATAATTCAATATAAATAAAAAAAAAAGTAAAACAAGCTTAAAATCTTACCTCAGCCGTAAACGGATAACTCTCTTCTGTTTCTAATCCAAAATTTTGTAAATAAATAAACAGAGTGAATGTATGGCCACCATAACATCCCATATTTCCGTATAATCGTGTACAATCAATAAACTGCTGTACAGATAAGTTAACTTTCTGTGATGTACGTAATGCATATTGACTTTCAGTTGCTGCTGTCACAGCAAATGCATAAGAACCATGACATGAACCCTAGAATTAATCAATAAAATGATTAAATTGACTAATTAATCAATTAAAAGTGGGATTAACAGGCAGGGGTGAGGGACGGAGAGTTAAATTATCAGACCGACATGTATTTGTTTAAGTCAATTTGAACTTAGTCAGAACACTGTTCAAAAGATCACGAAAAATTTGTTCTGACAGTATAAGTGATCAGGAAATAAAGACTCTGAAGGATATTTTATCTGTCCCCGGCGAAACTATCTAAACAGTTCCGAAGAAATTTGTCTACATCAATTTGCCATTCAAAGGAGATTATTTACAAGAGGTAGTTAAACAAGGTCTCGATAAAACCATCAAGAGAACTTATTATGCTGCAAAGCTTATCTTCCTTAACACCTTCAACAATCCGGGAAAGGTCAGTCGTCAGTCCTCGACACTTCAGACTGCGTATATCAAATTGGGTGTGTTTTTGGAAGCAGACACATAGGTGGTCGTACAGCAAGGAGATTATCTACTTCTAAGATGCAGCATTTGCCAAAGTGGTTGAAAACAGCTGAAGTCGAAGTGTCTAAAAGCTCAAAAAACAAAACATATTGTGGACTATGGATATGATACCTAGGCTATCAAGTCACTCACTATGTGTCAGCAGACAAAGAAACAGGAAGATGATTGCAATTGAGAAGGATTGTGCAATTCAAGTTTATAAACCAAGTCTCTGTGTACAAAAGAAAATAGTCGTTCGTCTAAAGCTACCCTGGTAAGACGTTTAACTTATTAACTGTTATTATTATTAGTATTAGTGACACTTTGTTCTACCTCTTATTATTATTATTTCTCATTCATTTAAAGCTATCCTTTATCAGTAGTATTATCTTAACTCGTTTCAGCATTATTATTATTATTATTATTATTAATATTACTCACTTCTCAATTCTTGACATATTTAAGTTCTTTGTCTAATGACTAATTGGGAAAAGTTAAACTTTAAGCACCACTAACTACCAATCAACGAATGACCTTTAATGCAGCAATCACATGAAGGAGGCATTTTTGGTTATGGAAAACATATATTTATGAAAAAATGCATAAAAACTGCATAAAACTGTTACATAGCATACCTTTCTCTGATATGTGATAAAAAAACATCTTCCAGTTTAGCATTAGAGTATCAACTGAAAATTTACACCACATTTTATACATAGATTCATCTAAATGACATCCTATTGAGATCCATTAATGGCCCTAATCCTGTTTTTCAACCTTCCCCTAGAACGTTCTATAGAATTGATGTTTATCCATATAAAGGGATCCACTAAATCATTAGAATGGTTCACTCTGTGGTGAATATATCTAAGAGATAACAGCGAGTTATAGCCTTTCACCTATATCGGTGTGTATTATAGGTCCTTGTTTCACAAGTCGAGTGATAATAGGCATTAAAGTGGTTCACTTAATGTCTGTTATCCTCTCGATGGATCCTTTCTGTAGACAGGTGTCATATGGACTGATCACCCAAACATTGTTTGCTTGTTCACGACCACAGTTGTATCTTTTCTTCAGTAACACAGTTTCATCCACATGTAGAATGACTCCTTCTCCTTTCAATAACGAAGTAAGCCTCTACATTTTTCAAAACGTCATAACCCTGCAGTGCTGGTACCACTGAATGTTGATACGAAAATGTTTTCTGTCTCAGCAAAGCTGAACCTCTCACAGGCTGTTTTAAAACCCAGTAATTACAAATATGCAAAATGTGGGCTAAGGGTAGATGGGACCTGGCAATAAAATGTTCCTACGAAATATCAGAATCATCAGCTTACCTTCCCTAACACTAACTCGTTTCAAACGAATTGCATAACGATGGACATATTCACCAATCGACATGCTGAAGCTTTTTATACTCATGACACCTCCAAATGAACAAATCCTCTCAAACCTAAGCAAATCCAGATCCAAGTAAAACTGGAAAACCCTATCCTCACCAAACTGCAAGCGCAACTGCGTTGGAGTAGGCGTTTGACTCTAATCACTTGGAAAAGAACCTTCAACTCATGTGGATGAAACTCATTGGATCACTCAGGGTTATTGTCTGATTAGTAGTTAGTGGTGCTTAAAGTTTAACTTAGCCACTAATTGTTTATCTAAGTGATATAATTGAAGCGTAATAAATTTAGGTCTTAATTTTAATCTCTCATACTCCCTTCTCCTGTTCTATTTGAACATGACCTGGAAAATATTCAGACCTGTCGGTTGGCATGATTAATTCAATGTAGTTTATTTACTTATCAATCGTATTTCCAATAGTATATCTATCCCTGTATGTAGAGTATTCAGCAGAAGAATTCTACAGAAATTTGATGAATTCATTAAATCCTGCTTTATTGACCCTTGCTGCTTGGCTATGCATTCATGTATTTACAGTGAATGCGTGAGAAAAAACTCCAGAACTATTTCCGATCAAGGGCGAAATTGATAAAATTGCAAAGAGTAATCAACAGAAAGATCGGATAAAAAACATACAGAATGATCGTAATTACTGGGAAAACTGATTTTTTGTGCATTTATGACGATAAGTTACCTTTTAAGATGGCCATGTTGGAGCCAATGGTTGGACGTATTTCCTTTTGAATACATAGCATGGATTTGAACTTTTGAATCCCTAGTGCCTCGGTTTTGCTGTGGCTCAAACAGTCTAGTTGATAACGCCCAAGCTCTTGAAGTGATGGGTAGGTGAAGTGTTCGAGTCTAAGTGGGAACATCATCACTCACTAGAGATCTCAGGTACTTCAGGATGACAAGTATTTGCATAGAACAAAACGCCCACACTGCATTTTGCTGCAAGCCGCCAAATAACATCAGGCTGACATGTAACTATGATTCACCATTTTTGATAATTTGAGACCCTATCGATATTTTTGAGTAATTTTGATGATCATTATCATTAGTTGTCAGATAATTTACGTATCAGCTGCACCGATCGGTCAAACACTATTGACCAGCCAGTAAATTCATTACAATTCTATAGGACTGTCAAAGTTTACTCGAATATATCAGAAGTAATAGCCTTGTATAACTATTATTACTGTTTATTCCTTCAGTTCCCAGTGGAATATACGACCTCAATAGTTCTCCATCATCACCTGCAACTGGCTGCACAACTTCTCATAGCCTTCACTTCCATATCAGCCCCAGACCCATGCCCATCCCTATTCGGGTGTCATGTAACGACCGAAACAGACTCATTGTGGTCTGAACGCAGGAAACCGATCTCTACGTCCCATTGCATAGCAGAACAAAACTTCCTTCAGACACCCACTCCAAACACATCAAAAACACGCTTATTCACCATGAAATCTGTCATTCTATTCAACAGTTACAACATCAAAAACTCAAATATACCTCAATAGTGCCGTTAAGCAGCTATATAGGTCAACTAATATTCGAAGTACCAGACAAGTACTGCAGAACGAAATCGGTAAACTAAACTTCAACTGGGAGAAGTACCTGAGGATCAAGTTGACTATTCCCAAAACTCTATCTAAAAGAATCACAAACCATCTATTCTTGGCAAACCGTCTAAGGTCAGAACCACCCTCATTCACTCACACAAAGTCGCAGTCATAAAACAACACAATCATTCCGTTACCATCTATTAAAGCATCTGGCGCGTGATGTCACACTTGTAGGTCTCCTCAATGAATGTGGAAATCACCACCATTTTATTCTGTATATTTTTTTGAACAATAAGTTCTTGTTATTTAATTGGTGGATGGTGACTAGCAGTGGAATCCAGGATGTGCATTTCGTCCTATTTGGGACTCGTCATCTAGGTGTATCTGCATTTCTCAGTTAGTGATGATGTTCCCATCGAACCCACTGCACATAGTTTCAAACGCCTAACAATCGACGGGAAAATCTAAAATTTAATTAAATAAGTTCCTGTTTGGCTTACTACTAGAGATCCTTATTACCTATCATTTCTAGTGATCTAATTTTCAGTAATGAACGTAGACAGTTAACCGTTTATCAATGCCACCAGTAGCCACTTGAAAACGGTTTCCTTGATGCACGCGTAAGTCTCTGAACCATAATAAGGGAGCATTGACCAAACTGACATTAGTGCTAGGTGTGTCCATCTTGTTCATAGTGAAACGAAATGTACGTCAGTCTTGCTTTCCCAGTCCAGCATTTAATGTTCTCATTACAATGATGGAATATTTATTCTAAATTGAGCTGAGACTTTGCGTTTCTGAGATCTGATTCTCATTTGGGCCGATAACTTCCACCTATTTATTTGACTCTAAAGTAAGCGTAAAACGTTTTGTAGAAGAAATTGCTGTGTGAATTCTGTAGATGATGAGAAGAAAGCTATGTAACACCTTAATACTGGATCATATGAAGAAGTCGACATGACTTAATCAAGGTCTACTCTGAGCAAATTAAAGGCTGATACAAGCAAAGTATTACAGTCAATAAAACAGAAACACGGTGAATCGCTTCGGTTTTCACTGGCTCCAAAAAGTTTCAGTCCTTGTGAATTTTTATGGATTACCAAAAACACACAAACCACATGTCCCATTACGTCCAGTTGTGGATTCTACTAATTCTACAACGTACAACCTTTCCAAATACATTTCATGAATACTAAATCCATACGATAAGATCGTGGAGTATGCAGTGAAAAATTAGGATGAATTTAGGGACAAAATTACCTCGACTTACATTGAAGAAGATGAAATGATGGGAAGTTTCAGTGTATATCCATTATTCAAGGGTGTTCCCATTAAAAAGTCTTCAGGCTGTGGTGAAGAGAAAGACGATGTCTGGGAGACCATCTTTTATTTGCGAGGTTGACATTTTTAATTGAATCTACGAAATCGAATGTGTCGTGGAGATTGTATCTCGAGAACTTTTCTTTCACTGGTCCAAGAATTTCTACCAGCCATTTGGCGATTAGGCGATTGATATGTATCCACATATATATATTTATGTGTGTGTGTGTGTAGGCTGGTCTCTCTTTCTGTTTGCTCGCTTAGCCTGTGACCATTTCACTTGTGTGAACTTGTCTCCTTTAATGATGTGTATTCTCCTTATATTATATTATATATAATATGAGTGTTTGTTGACAGTCCGTTGCTTGGTGACATCCATATATGTTTGTTGACATGTCTGCTATATTCACTATGTATATTTGGATCGACACTCCATTATAATTAGCCATTCATGTTAAGACTGTCTAATGATTTTTTCCCACGCTTTGTCTGGAACATTCATATATATTTCGCATACACAATCTTGTGACTTTACTTTACAACTACTTTACTTTACTTACTTACCACTTTGGTGTGAGACCATTTATATTCGTCTCCTTGTGTTTGGACAATAGAAGTATCACCGCAAACCTAGTGGTCTTCTGATTTCCGCCTTCTCGCGTCAGGACTATTAAATTCTCGACCAGTCCATAATAATAATTTAGCGACGAGTACATAAAAGCGATATAAAGAATTAATCCTATCCAATATTGGGCGGAGTGAGACATCCTTTTTTGTGCATTTTGGATAGTCCATACATTCGTGGCTATGTGAAACCAGTTGGATGAAGTTTTTCATATAGTTCTGTATTAATAATGGATTCACCTTTCATTTTTTTTTCAATAAGTTGGTTAGCTGGAGCTCCGTCTGTTCAGTTAGATCTTTTTGGATCGTTTGTTTTTGAAATATATTGTTATCAGATAGAATTCGTGAGAGTTTCTTCACATAGTCTGACTCGTTGAGCCTTTGTCTGGTCGAGATATTATCAGATTTTCATTTGATTTCAATTCTTTGAGTTGTCAACCTCACAAATTAAAAGATGTTCTCTCTAGACCTCGTCTCTCTCTCTTCACCAATCTTCGGACAGTATTTAGAATTTAATTCTTTTAGACAACTAACTAGGTGTTCGATTTCCTTTGAGTCTAGATGAAATTATGAGGGTATTGCAAATATGTCTACTATCCGCGTTAATTGCATTCAGAGGCATTCTCTGCCGTCAAACAGAAGGTGTTACTATGAGATCATCCGTGTTTCCGTTAACAGTCAACCTACTCATGCTCTGATTACAAACAAATGCAATTGTGAGATACCCTAATCCATCAGGAATGGGAATATCTTTATCGTCATCAGACTCCGTATTTTTTTAATGGACTTTTCCCTGTGATAAACAGTATTTCAAACACCATTAAGTTTTCAAAAGAGGTTGAATCTGATAAAAATGATTTAGCATTTCCTGGACTGTTTGATCAAACGACAACTAGATGATAAACTAAAGATCAATATCTTCAGCAAGCCTACAAATTAGGCACATCCCCTACCACCAAAGTAACTGTGACTAAAAATCACAGACAAACGTCTAGTTACTGGAGACAAAGAGACCAGCAGGGAATTTAATTTGGTTCAGTCTACTCTTGAGTTAAATAATAACCTCAAAGTCTTTATAAAAAAAATATTTAAAATGTCAAGATAAGGATGAATCGAAGCCTGTTGCTAAGACTTGGGTTAGTAGGGGGGGGGGGTGATTCCTTACCGCAAAGAAACATAGGATGAAATAACTCTCATCCTTAACAGTCATGACATAAGAGTGCATTTTCGTACAACGGACACCTTACGCTTATCATTAGTGAGGGTTATGGATAAAATAGAAGAAGACAACCAACAAACTTGTTTGTACCAGATCGATTGTGGGGATTGTGACGCCGTATATGTAAGAGAAACTTTCTGACAGGTAAATGTAGAAGTAAGGGAGCCTAAAAATTGCCTAAGAGTGATCCCAAAGACCTCTGCAGATTTGAAGAAGCTAGAAAACAAACCAGCAATTGTACTACACTCGATAGAAACGAGACACAAGGCCTCATTGGATTTGACCAAGATTCTATGGAAAGATTTTGGCCCATATGAAAAAAAGACATAATGAACAAAATCACTCCATTCAATACAATCTAGACCAAAAGACCCAATAGCAGAAGAGGACAAGATCAATACACCATCTGCAATGTGGTTCACATGATCTGTGATAAACACTATATTGATATTAGACAGTTGGAGACAATCGACAGGAAGCCTTGGCTAATCCTAGGTTTCGTGCTAGTTGGCACTCACAAGTCAGCAAGGTATATCTGCAACCTTGAAGGAACTCATGTCCCTTCTGAGATTCGAACCCGCGTCATTCAGTGCTGTAGTCAGAGACGTTACCACTGAGCTATTCAGGCTCGCGATTGACCTCCAGTAGGACTGTAGTGGGTAGTTTGATTGGATACTAATAACTAGTGTGACGTGTCTAGTCCTTTCTTTGGTGCAGACTGAATTCTATCAGTCAGGTTTGCCTACCGATTGCCTCCAACTATCTAATAGCATCAAATCAATGTGCACCATGATGGCGAGCTACCTAGAATGGTGGCTACATTGTAAAGCTGACTGATAGAATTCACTCTGCGTCAAATAAAGTGCTAGACACGTCACACTAGTTACTAGTGTCCAATCAAAAATTATATTGGCCAAAATGGGCGTTACCTGCGATTCCCAGTCTAGGAATCTAAGCTAGGCGTCAAAGGACACTAAGTGTATTCCTTCATATTGATGCATGTAGACAACTTAAGACATTGTAGAAATTTTAGACAGCAAACACATAAAAAATGTCAGTCACTGAGATCAGTTTCCACTCAACAGACACACTGACATATATCAAATTTATCAACCGATAAATGAATAAGTCAGTCGAAAGAAGGGTTAAATTCGAGGTTAACGGAATGATCAATACTGATACAAATTAACAACAAAATGAAACAAGAATCTCTGAAGGCAACCAGTCACAACAGTCCAGGCTATTGCGAGAAATAGTTGTATCACTACAAAAAACTCTGAATTCACACGGAAGTTAGCGCTGAGTGTAGTGTAACCAAAGACAACCCATAAATAATTTAAATGTTGATTGAAATCCTTATTTTGTTCATCTGAGAGACTAATGTTAAAACCTTAAGACGTCGTCTCCTCCGTAATCAGTAATTGCTTTAATCACCATATGTGAGTGATGCTCACTCGATGGACAAAGATCAGGGGATTAACCTCTCTCTCTCTCCACCTAACTATATTACTTCTAAATACTTTTACCATATTCCTACCCTGTTATGGGATCTGGACTTCGAGGACGATTTATGTCCAGCATCATACAAATTTGGAGATGTACAAGCGAAAATGAATAAGCTGACAGAAGAGGTAGGCAACACAGGAACAAGACTTCAACTGAACACAGAGATAGCAGAGGTGATGAAGATACCCCGCTGATCAACAACAACAACAACAAACACCAATCATCATTCACCGGGAAGATTTGAAGAAAGTCACCATGTCCGCTAACCTCACCTGAAAAGCATCGTTTCAAATACACGCACACCACAGATGAATATATCAAAGACAATCTTGATAGGAAAAATACGACAGATTCTCATCTCAATCTGAAATCAGTGAGGAAATCCACTGGGCTCAGTACAAAGAATAAAATTCGAATTTTCAATACTAATTACAAGTTACTCTATATCGTTCAATGGCCACGTCGTCAAAACCTTTTCCAACTGTATACTGCAGACTGTCACCAATATCTGCCTTTGCTACGCTGATACTGAAGATAAGACGACTGGCTGACCAAAAACGATTAGCAACAGGAAACTCCAGGAACAAACCAACTAATATCTTATTGCCCAAAATATATGCCAAAAAAACGGAGATGAATTGGGCATACTCTGTGGAGACCGCTGAATGACATAACGAGCCAGTCAGACTCTAGAGTGGAACTTGAATTGGAAATGACAAGTTGGGTATGTGTTCAAGGGTGCCATGGAGGAGGAGATGGTGTGAGGGTGAACTGAAGCTTGTGGGCAGTCGTGGAGCCAGTTAGAAAGGACTGCAGAGAACAAAATATAACTGGAATGTACTGTCGAAGCCCATTCGGAACTCAAGGGAACAATAATAACTTTGGGGTTGCATACAGGTGAATGCATTCCAATTGTTGAGATTTTTTCCAGATTACTGCGACTATACTCTTCTGACAGAAGTCTCAAAATATAGAGGTATTTCAAGGATTTATTTGGATCACTCCCCCCACCGACCTGACATCATTGAAACTGCTACGTCTCAGTATTATTTTAATTTGTATTATTCAGTCACTACCAATGACAAGAATGATACACAAAGTCTACTTTCTATGGCGTAACATTAACTTGTACTTCAGGGGTGTAAAGGTAGAATGCCCGGCAGCCACACATTTGAGCCGAGGTCCCATTCCCGGCTGATTTACATGCTAAAGCTCACCGAAATAAGATTAAAGAGGGAAGGAATGGGGCAGGCAACCTCACACAGTAGAAAACAGTCAAAAACATCACCACCGCTAGTAAAACTTCAAAATCTAAAGGCTTAAAGCTTTAATATTCCACTCGGGGAATGTGCATCAACTTACCTCATTTCTTGGTTCATTGACAATATTCATATTACGCCAATCATAGGTATCTGGTGTCCAACCAACATTATTAACATCATAATTTTCTTCAACAAATGACGCTGAAGATGACAAAGATTTCAGTAATTCTGGTTGTTTATTGAACGTAAACTTTTCTGTATATTCATTCCAGTCAACATCTGAAAACTGATTCACTCCCACAGTGAATGTTTCCAGCCCTAAGTCATAACGTAAGTTGTGCAACCAAATTTTTTCAATATTTTCAAGCCATTTTGCTTTACGAATTTCTTCTTCTCCAGTGTTAGCATATTCTTTAGCATAGTGTGTTTTCCATTCATTCCACAAATGATTACGTTGATAATTTTCTAATAATTTATATGAATCAGTAGTATCGGTGACTACTTGTAATAATATAAGTAGTATTAGTACAACACGCATAATTAACACACTGATATTGCTAATTGAGAACAAAACGATATTTTGAGGTTTTATATACGAATGTTTTTGATACAAACAGCTGAAAAATTCTAAAAAAAAGATTGACCTTTGAATCTATTTATAAATGAAATAAGTAGTATGAGTAATGAAAAGAAATTTTTCATTGAGTATTATTAAAAACAAGGTCCACCCCCTTTCATGTTATGAATTTGAATGGACTTCAATCCAGAAATTTGAGATGAGTGTATGTAATCAAGTAGAAATTTTGGTAACAGAACAAAAGTATGATACCTATTCAGTGTTTTAATCTTTTTTTGAATGAGGCTATCGAAATTTAAATTCGGCACATTCTTATTGTTTCTTTCATTCGTTTGTTTGAGTTTTTTCTTATATAATGAATATTCAGTTATCAATAAACATGATGTTTTAGAAAATGGTCTGATCAATGGACTTTGTTCAGTGTTCTAAGGGCATATCTATTCATCTCATCGTTCAAATTGTATGAATAATTTAAGTGAATAAAATATGAAGGTGAACTGTGAATGAAGTAATTCAACTAGATAGATAAATAATATTATGTTAACCCTTAGACATAGTCAGAGTTGTTGAGATAGGGGCCAACAATGTCAGCAGAAGCTGAGCACTTAGTTCCATAAAAATCAATCAATGGGATCCGTGGAAATACCATCAATGGGTAACAACTGATACTCATTGCATGAGGAGTGGTACTCGTAGCCCAATGACGTTTGAAACGATGAGTATTGGATTTGAACCTCGGGATACAAGTATTTCCAGGTGATGAGTTCAAAATAGGATGAAATCCGTATCCTTATTTCTACTGCTCTCCGCTGTCAGCTGTTTGTCATCAAAAATAACTAACTTTTCAGAACAAACGTCGGTGGTTCAGGAGTAGAATGCTCATAGACCATGAATTTGGTCCGGAGTTGGATCCCTGGCGAACTCACTCCCTAACCTCTGTAGTAAGTTCGGTAAGGAGGCAAGGTTGTACGTGAGTCTAGCTTGAAGCCGTATGTTCCACTCAGAACTCAATGGAATAAAACAACTCAGAACAAGACCGTACTAATTATGCATACGGTCCTGCTATTAATCAACCTTATAGGTATATGTTCGCTTACGCGCATGACTAAAGCCATTTGAGTATGGCCTATGGAACTGGCTATTCAAGAGCAGTTGTGCTCATAGACGTACATTGATGACGCCATCATCCATTAAATTGTCCTTAACTCACTGTGTAAGCACTGACTTGTTTAGTTGAGAAACTGAGTACTGTTTTCCATTTAGGGAATATTCTCTCAGTTGATCAGTTAAGTCAGCATTTTAGAATGTTAGGTGCAATATCACTTATGTAAATTAACTTGAGATAAAGAGCGTTCTTGTCTACAGTATCCATTATTATCCTTTTGTGTTTAGACCACACCATCGTTATTATTTTACCGCCATTATTGATGTTATTCGCCATCCCTTAAACTTGAGTCTATGGTGTCCCATTTGGTGGTTTATTCCTGTGTAGTATTCATACTGTCCCAACAACTACTGACTACACTCACATGTGGAGCCTGTGCTTTTCCCATATTAATTTGTTTATTTTTGATATATCATACTGTGAAACAGTATTATTTACTGGATGACAGTGTTCCAAATACAATTCATTCTTCATAATCATATCATCATTCATAATCACACAACTTCGAAACTTTTGTTTTATAGTTTTCTTTATTCTTTCGTATTCGTCATCATCCACAACAGTAAACTCACGGAATCCTTCGAAGGGAAGACGGAAGTAAGACAAGCTGGCTGCCCATTATCTCCAATGATTTTCCTGACTGCTGACGGTAGACTGGATAATGCGACAGATAGCGGCGGGCCACGAGGAAACAGGTATGAAATGGACCCACAAAAAAATCTTGGAGGATATGAACTTCACCAATAATATATGTCTGATTTCTCAAAAACTGGAAGATATGCAAGTGAACAGCAACAAGTTGGCAGAGGAAGCATCCAGAAAGTATAGGACTTCAGATGTACACAGAGAAAAGAGAGGTTATGAAGATTCCTGGCCAACAGCAACAACAACATACAACAATCAGCCAGCATAAATAGGAGAAATTTTAAAGAAGGAGCGAACTCATTCGCCTACCTGGGAAGCATTTTCTTTTCAACTGCAGGAGGACAGAACTGATGAGGATACCAAAGCAAAGATTATCAGGAAAGCAAGATAAGCTTTCATTACTCTCAAGTCTGTGTGGAGGTTAACAGCACTCAGCATGACAGTGAAAATAAGATCCGGATTTTCAACTCCAATGTGAAGTCAGTGATACTTTATGGATCAGAGACATGGCGCGTCATAAAGAGCACTTCAAACAAACTGCAGACTTTCATCAACAGCTGTCTTTGCTCAGTACTACTCAAGATCAGATGGCCAGAAAAGATCAGCAACAGGAAGGAATCTCTGGCAATGAGCGAACCAACCAGAAACCTGTTGTGAAACAAATAGGCAGGAAGAAGTGGAGGTGGATTAACTGGCCAAACTCTGAGAAAACCATCAAATGACATCACACGACAAGCCATCACTCGAGTGGAACCCTAGTAAGAAGCGGCGAGTTGGCCGTCAGTGCGAGCGTGATATGGAGGAGGTCATGTGAGGAGGAGATGAAAGCATGTGGACAGATGTGGAGGGGGGTGAAAACGTTGGCAGAGAATTGAACGCAATGGAGACGTGCGGAATTAAAGGAAACAATAATAAGTGGTCTAGTGGATAACGCTTTGGCGTTTGAAACTATGGGCACTGGGTTCGAGCCTCGGTGGGAACATCATCACTCACTGAGAAATGAAGGTACATCCAGATGACGAGTCCCAATTAGGACGAAATGCGCATCCTGGATTCCACTGCTAGCCACCATCCACCAATTGTATACAAATCAAATCCCCAGACATCGTCGAAGCATCTGCACAAGAAGCCGACATGTCAACCTGAGACCGAACACTTCGGTCCAATCAATCGACGGGAAAATCAAGAATTCAATTCAATAAATAATAATAATTCGTCATCGTAGGGGTAGTAGAATTTTCCAGACGTCTAAGACAGGTGTTCAATCATTTCTGTCGCATATATTGTGAGTTAATTCGATAAATAAAGCTTCAGCTATCGATCTCTCCCTCCACCCCGTTGTATTGGATTTTAAAACTGTCATCGTATCCCATCCTATTTCATGGTTGTGTGTAATTGCATGTAGTGCTGCAACTGAACTATTCTCCAGATTTTTTATCTCATTCGAGTCAACTAATCTAGATTTCACTGCTAGGTTTTTATTCTCGACTAGTCTGACTGCCCCTGTTCTACTACTCTGACTTATTAGCCTGACAATCATAGCAACATAACAGTAGATGAATTAAATTGTTTTGTTTAATTGGCTCCTTTAACCCGCAAAGTTTGTGTTCTAATTGAGTTCGTGGGTTTGAATACCACTTTCATCCCTGCATTGTTAAGAATTCTCCTTAATGTTTATGAGGTCCCTTCTTTGTTTGGAAGTACTACTGATAATTTAAATTCCCTATTGTTGGCATTTTCATCATTCTGTAGATGCTTGTCATGCTTGTCGGTGTGAATGTGTGTCTTCCGCAAGTGCTAATATTTAACTCCCCATCTTATTTCCTATTTATGCTACAATCTAACATTTGAAGCTCCCTTTCCAGATTTTTAATTCATAAGTGAATTGAATTACCTCTACCTTCGAGTTGATATGTTCGAAAAATTTATCTACATCTTGTGCCTTTAATATTGTGAATGTGTCATCTAAATACCTTCAGCACATTAGGAGTCGGGGTGGGAGAAGTTGAGAGTTGCAATCACTATGTTTTCCCATCTATCCATGAATATATCGGCCACTGTCGGGGATATTGGCGACACCATAGCGACTCTCTCAGTTTGTTTGTTTGTATATTCTCCTTTGGAATTTAATTACTGTGGAAGTTTCGAAGTTGTGTAGTTTTAATTGATGATGATGATTATGAATAATAACAAAACGTGTTAGAAACTCAGTCCTATTAAATAATACTGTTTCACTGCCTGTGATGTATCCAGTAAACAAGTTGACAGAAGTTGGAATTGATGTGTCGGCCATTGGATTAGGTCCCAGTGGCTTAAGGGTTCACGAGCTCGCCAGCCTTGTAAACAAAAGGTCCAGGGTCAAATCCTGGCGGTGGATGCGTACTGATGAAGAGTCCCAAACTAGGCCGACCAAACAGCTGGCTGTCCAGTACTCCCTGCACGTTTTCCAGTGGTTCGCTAACTGATGTCAGCTCATGATGAAATTCTGTAACTAAACAAATTAATATGGAATTGCGTAATACCCAGTGTCCAGGTTCCTAACACATATTAACCTGTAATTTTTCTTGAGTATATATATATATATATATATATATATATATATATTAAATGATAATCAAAACTAGCTGACTATTACTCCATCGTATACTTGTTAGACAATACACTTCCTTGTACATACTTCTAATTCGCCTCTACTGACAATTATTGTATGACAAAACAATGAATTTATAATTGTACACAGCCTGAAGAGGAAGTAGAATTCAGTGAAAACAATGATTGTTCATTCTAATCATTCTTGTTCTGAATAAAACAATGCAGATTTGTAAATAAATAATTGATTGGTTAAGTAGCTGAATTCAGCAATTAGCTCAAGATCTTCTAGTGGACATGATCATCCTATAAATCTTTTCACCAAAACTCTTGACTGACTGATCCCCAAAGAGTCAAACAAAATACACTTCAGCAAGCACAATGTATGCTCGACACAGTGATTTTGTTTAGGTCTTTGTGTCAGTGAACTGATATATACATATATAAACATACTACTGATTGGCTGGTATGAGTAGTTGGAAATCACACACTTCAGAAAGAGATTTTTAATAGCTTGATAGAATAGAAGTGGTGTCAACAGCCGACGGTCATTTCTCACGTTTAGCGCCGAGCGCATCAGCTAAAAGAGAGCCGAATCAGTTCACACTCTCTGAATTTTTGGACTAGCCACTTAGGCGAAATAGAAACATATCGTGATATTTTACCAGTAGCATCGTAAACTCTGATGAAGTGGAAATCAATCTCCTCCAGAATCACCGACAGCAAAATTCAACTAAAAAGGAAGGAAAGTTACGGACAGACAACGCTGGTTGTGTACTTGCAACTCAGACACATTGTAGATGAAGGTTGTTTACTACAAACAACTGAAAACAGTTAACTATATAACCGCAGTCAGATGGAAGTATCAAAATTCTAACGGTTGATATAAATTCCAGCTAAAGCAGGAGCTGACAACACTGGAAGTGAACGGATCATATGTCGACGGGTG